TTCAACAAAACTCATAATTTTAGGGGCATTTAATGCTACCCTATTTTATGATTTAAAAAAATAAAAAAAAATCTAATATAGTGTGCAATTAAATATGAGCTGAATTCTATTCCTACTAATTATAGTAAATGAGATGACTTTTTATATAAGTATAGATTATCTGCATGCTAATTTTGGATGTCCTTTATTGATTGTTAGCTTCAATATTAATTCATGCCATATTATTGTTGTATTTTCTCTTAATGTAGTTGTGTTTTATTGCAATTTATTAGAGTATGAATTTTTTTAATCATATGAATTGACATATGAATTAATATAGATGAACGTATTATAAACATTTTAAATATCATATGAATTGACCTATGATTCACCAGAACTCGTAATTCACTAATTGAAACTTATTTTTTAAAAATGATTAAATGCAAAATTGTATTCTTTAGCGGATTAAATTTCAAATATTTGTTGGATAAAATATGAAATTACTATACATTTATTTATATAATGAAAAATGTCACCAACGGGGTTGGCTCAAGTGGTAAGCAGCTTGATGTCGCTTAAGCAAGATCTATGGTTCGAGTCCTTGTGGATGCAGAAAATTCTTGTTGGGAGACTCACCCACCACTACCAGGTGTGCGACCCGGGTCGACCAACGGATTAGTCGGGACATAGCTCCAGATACCGTAGCTGGCTACCAAAAAAATGTCACTTTCGTAATTCCACTGACATTCGCATGCATGTTGTTGCTGGTGATAACATCAATTATTCAAATTTAATTTCTCTATAGTTAGTATCAATATAAAATATAAATATGTTTGATGATTAATATGGTCACAGCACAATTATTCAGATTTTCTCTGGACTTATATCAATATATAAAAAAATAAATAAATGTTTTAGATGATTAGAAACAAAATACATATAAATTAAATTAAGTAATTAAAAAACTTTTTTGGCCTCATATCATTATTAAGGTGACCCCAATGGGCATGATATTCCTAGCTCCTAGTTTTTGGTGGTTAGCTTCAATAATTCATGCCATTAAATATAGATTGAAAGTCTTTTTTTTTTTGGCACAGGGACCTTCCAGTTTCCGGATTCACAGAGGAACCGACTAATCTGGAATCGAGCCGGGTAGGATCACAAGGGCGGCAAAGCTCTCCCTCAAGAGTTTTAACACTGCTGCATTCCCAGGGCTCGAACACAAGACCACTGGTTAAGCTGGAAGAGACCCAAGCCATCTCATCAAAGCGCTCTTGGGTAGATGGAGTCTTTTTTTGTTTAGTTGTTTATTCGATATTCATACTACTATATTTAGGTCTGCAAACGAGTCGAGCAGCTGGATTTAGTTTTTTTTTAGTTGCTCGAGCTCGATTTTTGAGGCTCGAGCTCGACTCGATAAAAAATTACAAGAGCTCGAGCTCGCTCGACTCGAAATCAAAATGCTCGACCTCGGCTCGAAAATTTTTAAGTGGAAATATGAAATTACCATTAAGCACATATGCTAATTAATATATATAATAAGAGATATTTTAGTAATTTAACGTGTATCTCATGCAGCTCGACGAGCCTCTCGACAAGGCAAAATATGGGCTCGAGTCGAGCTTTGACTCCAGCGCTCGCGAGCGACTCGCGAGCCACTCAATTTATTTGCAATCCTAATCATATTACATTTGATGAATTATTCATTGTTATATATATGATCAATCGGGATATTTAATTATAAAAAATTAAATAAATAGAAGTACAAATCTCATGACAAAGTATGTATTTTTATTAAAAACAATTATGGATCAATTTGTTTAATGGTTAGACCGCGCAACACAAAAATTTATCATCTTCCAACATAAGAATTATTGGTGTGGCTCATATATTGATAAAGGAAGAGGGTAGGCTGATGCCTGCGAGCGTAACGGAGCGAACGTAGTCTCGTTTTTTAATTCGTGTGCCATATTGTCATCTTCACTCACTCTATCGTGCATGAGTACGTAAATTAATATGAAATGCTTATATTATAATAGACTCATTATTGATGTGAATAATGAGAGACAAACCAGGACGATTTTATCTAATATTAGATAAGCAATTATTAAAGGATTTTGTCTAATATATAATAAATTATTAGATACAGTCTAATGAAAATAACCGGCAACCAGAAATTGTTTAGCTAATATCGAACACAGAGTTCAATAATTCCAACTTGCTTAGCTAATATCTCTCTCATTTTTTGTACCCAAAAAAAAAAATATATATATATATATATATAT